CACACACACACACACACACACTGAATACCATCTACTGAATACTACACTCCTCAGGGTTAAACAGTAGCTAGAAAAGTTATGCATTATTCATGAATTGGCCATAAAATGTGATCTGATCTTCATGTAAGACATAAGTATATTAAACACAATTTACTTAAGGTAACAATACACAAACATTTATAAGCGTTCGTGACTATATTGAACACAGCAATTAAACACTCACAATGCTGGTGGAAAAAATAAGTAGCCCTTGGATTAAAAAACTGGTCCCAGTATTAACCTCATACAAGCACTTCCAGTAGGGGCTAATCAGACCTGCATATTGTTCAGGATGAATTTTGGACTATTCAGACCTGCAGCAGCTCAGACATAGTCTTTAAGATGTCTGCTGTTAATGTCTTTCTGAGGTCATTCCTCCGTATTTCACAACTAAGATGATGTTTCTGTGTTGTGATTCAGTTCCCTTTTTATGCCACACCTAGTGCTGTTTGTTCTTCCCAACCAATTCAACTTTAGCTCCATCAGTCCACAAAATCCTTTCTAAGTGTTATGTGTTAAGTTGCTCTTTGGCAAATATCTGATGTGCAGTGATGTTTCTTTTTTTGGAGTGCAGCAGCTTCCTTCATGTTTTCCTGCCATGGACACCATGCACCATGATTTGTGTATGGTAGACTCATGAACAGAGATGTCAAAGAAATGCAAAGGAAACCTATCATTTCTGAAATAAAATTTTAAAAAAAAATGGAAACTGATTTGACACCTCCTCAAATGAGCAAGAAAATCCTCCAGAAAACCTTTCAGGTCAGATTGGATTGGAGTCCTTGGGAAGAAATACACAAGAGGAGCCGTCTTCCAAGGCTTGAAGGTGTCTTGACAATAAAAGAAATGCAAAGGAAACCTAACATTTTAAACACAGGCCGTTGTAATTATACTCTTTGACCATTGGAGGGCAGTAAACCGCTCATAATCACAAAAATGGCAGCTAGCAATTTAAGCGTCAAGTCAGACCAATGTTCCTGTGGGCCTCTTCAAAATAAAATTTTTTAAACATACAAACAGATTACACTTTTAGCACAGCTTAGCCTTAAATTTGAGCTGTAATAAAAAAACAGGTGTGCGCGCAATGGCTTGACTGTAACGCTAAGGCACTTAGCTTCGTGTGAATTAAGTGCTCTCTTCCTGATGATTGAAAAATATCTTTTGAGGTTCTGTGGTTGCTTACAGTTAGTAGGAATATACACTCGGATGCTAGAGGCTATTTTTTCTGTCTGAAACAGTTGATGTAGTCAATTTTGGATTTGTGGATATGACGCTTTTATTTTGAGAACTGGAACCGGAAGTGTTGTGTTTGTTGTTGATCACACACGAGTAGACGTCTAGCTTGTGAGTTGACATCGTTGGTGGCATTAATATGTTTTCCTGTGTATTTTAGTAGGATAATTCATTTTAAACAGGTAGTGATGAAAACCGAGGAAGAAGGAAAGTCTCAGTTTTACACCTGTAACTGTTTCACGACTGATAATATTTTCCTGAACGACTACAAACTCCATGTTCGCTTTGAGTCGGAGCAGCAGTTCAGACTGGACTATCATGCTGTGAGTGGATATTAGTTACATTATCAATGCACAAACAGTAGTTGGGGTGACGTACCCTTTTTGTAATCTGTGTATCTCTCATGTTCATTATTGCTACGCAGCTGCTGAGGAGGCTGGGCTGCGGTACGGACCAACAGTTTGAGGATGTGCTGCACGAGGTAACGACAGCAGTGTGTGTTTTCACTCCGTGTGTGTCGGTGCCTTGCCATTAAAACCAAAAACAGCTTTACAGTAATTCCTGACATTACATCACATTTACTCATTTGACAGACACTTTTATGCAAAGCGACCCACAGATTAGTGACATCGCTAAAGCTTCAGTGCATTATGACATGACTTTATTTGTTTGGTCAGTGATCAGGTTTAAAATGTTGAAGAGACAAAACCCTCAGACATCTCGCTAATGATACTCATTTCATCCACTCATACATTTGAGATCAACTGTAGCTGCACCGCCGTCTTAGATGAATAATGGATAAGTTGAATAGCAGAAAATTAATAAACTGTTTTTATAATATTTTAGTCGTTTAAGTAATTTTTAAAGTAAACTTTCCAAAATTCACTCTGACCTCACGTGATTGTAAACAAAGCATATTTGGTTTTTGGGACTGTTGACAGATAAATCAGTCAGGCTGATGTAATGGCTGATATTAGCTTATTATTGCTATACTGATATTGGTGTATATGAAGGCTGAGAATAGGTTTCAGCACAGAAATGCCAAATTTACACAGTGTCTTCAGTCAGTACACTCACATGTAGTACACTGTGAATACAGTACAGTCCCAGGCATAGTGTGTGAATTTCAACATAGTAGTGTTGTCCCAAATCAAACTACTTTGTGACAAAAACATTTGTGTAGATAAATATAACATACATATGGTGTGGTGTCCACTGTGACAGCTGCAGTCTCCACGGTCGTCATTTTCACAACTTTGGCGGTCCCTCCCCTTCCACTACGAAGCCAAGATGGCAACGTTATAGGGTGAGAAGTGTCCATTGTTTTACACTAAACCTTTTGACCATTTTGAGCGCAGCATCCAGGTGCTTGTAGTGCTCTGCATGTTGTACTTGTGAACACACTTAAGGACTCAAAATAACAAGTGTGTGTATGGAAGTATGCGATTTGAGACACAGCATTAGAAAAAATAAGTCATTTGTCCACCAGATAGCACTGACAAGTTGATTCTCACATTGTAAAACGTCCCATTTTGTGTGGCAGTGAGGGATATTGAGGTCACAGTAAGAAAAAAAAGATCCAGATCAAGATTAATAGTTTATGTATTATGTTTATGTGAAAAATTACAATGGGCCCATACAGTTATGTTGTTTTGTTTTGTTTTTTATTCCCAAATATCTACGTCAGTATCGGCCTGAAATATCCAATGTTGGTCAGACTGTAACTTGAAGACTTCACCTTGAACTCTAGGAAACTGTGATCGATATGTTTTCATTATTTTCATACAATTTATATAAATTATGAATCAATTTATCAAAAAATACACAGTCACATTAATCAGTAATGAAACTAACTAATTGTTATGTTGGTTGCACTGTTTTATCACCTGATTGTCTAGTTGGTCTCATCCTGGTAGAGAACAGAGCTAAAATTGCATAGCATACAGTTAGTAGATCCACACCTCATGATGACCCCCATATTATCACATAATTATTGGTGATCAATATAAGACATTTTCTCTTGTAGTCAGGATTATGAGGTAACTAATCTTTTTCTTTTGCAGTTAACCCACCATCTCTACCGGACTGTAACTGTGAGTCTGTTCTGTTTAGGTTTCACAGGAAGTGGACAGGCGAAGGCGTCTCAGTGTGACGTCTGCTGAGAGAGCTGCTGTTATAAAAGACGTTTACCAGCCGCTCCATCCTCATGTCTACCATCTGCAGGTATTTACTGCACCCGTCTCTGCTTACGGTGTCGTTTATAATGTGTCATGTCACACTTTGCTAAGACGCGTCTGCGCTCCGACTCTCCTCAGGAGTCTTACCTCACTCCGAAGTTCAGGCAGATTGTCGAGTTGTGTCGAAGCAGCGACCCCAGTGAACACAGCCTCTTAGGCTTGTTGGAGGAGGAGGCAGGTGGGCCGGAGTGCGCTTTCATTTTCTTTCAGTGACCAAGGCTCTGCTGCTTTGTAGACATCAATTAGCTTCATTTTCATTTTCCTCAGCCATGGATGTTGAATGTCACCACAAGGTTTGAAGAGTCAGAGAATTTACCTGCATTACAAGTTCTGATGAGTCACTTAAGACAAAATGAGATGATGAAGTTGAGTGTTTTACCTGCAGAATGGTGGCCAAACATGTCCACAATTACTGTTCATGTCCATGAAATAAAAAGTGACAGTGTCAAATATGTTAAGTATGTCATTTGACCCTAATGACCAAACAAATATTCAAAATTGATCTGAAGATTAATCAGCAATTAAGGTAATTGTTTTTTTTTGCAACCCTAGTTGTACACCAGTTATATGAAGCAAGGACAGGAATTAGCAAAGTTTATGGGTCTTAAAGTACTAACAGAGGCTTAAGGTCATTTGTTTATGTTGAATAAACAATGATATATTTAACTATGAAAATGCTACATGGATCATCTTTGATTGATTCCCATCCCTCTGTTTTAGCTCCACAGGTGTATCGCTTCCCTGTGTTTGAGAAGAGCTTCTGTGAGGAGCTGGTGGAGGAGCTGGAGCACTTTGAGCAGTCTTCAGCCCCTAAAGGAAGACCCAACACCATGAACCATTATGGGGTAATGTGTCCATGTCTACCTGCTGAAAGCCCTTAAAGCACCATTTAATCACTGCTCACTCATTCATGTTTCATCTTTATTGTGCCCTGACATTTGGATCCTTGGCCTGCCATGGCCGCATTGGTCATGAATTATATGGAGCTCTGTATTCAAGGCTGGTACATGCAGGGACTTTGAGTCAGGGAATGGCTTTGGATTTTTTCTTTTCAGCAAAAACCTTAAAAAGGATTAATCTGCAAGATTTGTTGTTGCTGTTTGTAAACACACCATTCAAAATTCAGAAAACACATTAATTTCTACAATATAAATAAACACACCCACACCAACACACAATCCTGCAGGACCGTGCCGCATTGATGGATTTTGAGTGAATGCAGCTCCATGACAGAGAGCAGAGGAGAGAGACAGTGATGTGACCTGGTCACTGTGTTTCTATAGAGTCCGTCACACCCTGCACGCTGTTACTGGCTGGGGGCCAAACATCCACAGGCCAAAGGCTGCAGCCCAGAAATGTCCCATACACAGCAAAATAAGAAGAAAATGAGAAAATACAGGCTCTTGTCTAGATAAATACACTTCCACACATTTCTAGTTTAGGAGAAACCTGCATATTATATCTTTTAAATATAAGCCATGAAAGAGCTTTTTATTTTTTATTCATGATATCCTTTTGATTCTCTCCCTCCCCAGATCCTCCTGAATGAACTGGGTTTTGACGAGGGATTCTTCACGCCTCTCCGTGAGCAGTACCTACACCCGCTCACCTCCCTGCTGTACCCAGACTGTGGGGGCCGCTGTCTGGATAGCCACAAGGCCTTTGTAGTCAAATATGACATGAATGAAGACCTGGACCTGAGCTACCACTACGACAATGCAGAGGTCACCCTTAATGTTTCGCTGGGGAAGGAATTCACGGAGGGAAACCTTTATTTTGGTGACATGAGACAGGTGACTGTATGGTTACAGTGACCTACTATTATACTATTATTACTACCATCACCACACCTACAGCCACCACATCGACCACTACCTACATTAACAAACATAAATATATTTTCAGCTCCTAGATACATGGTGCATTGTTGTGCAAATAAACACCATATAGGTTTAAGTGGAGTAAATAAATACATAATGATAAAAGAATAAATATAAACATTTATCAGGTATTCACATAAACAGTAAGCAAATACAGAAATGTACACATGATTTTTTGTTTGGGGTTAGTCTTAAGGAGTCTAACTGTAATTAAATTTCTATTAAAAAGATATAAGATAAGATAGATATTATATATTATAAATTACATTATATATATATATATATATATTGCTCAGTGTATTTACCCATTAAGAGTATTAGATTTATAATACAACACAAGACATTAAAGTTATAATGTTTTTATTTTTATAATATCTTTTAACTATAACTGAATTCCTAGTTTTATTGAAAATAAACGCCTGTCCAAAACTTACATAATGATAAAAAAAAATAAGTAGAAAACTGATTCTGCCTGTACATATACATTTATTGTTGCCATTACGCCTTGCAATATAGGCTATGTTTTTATTATTGATAATAATATTAGTAATTTCCATGGTGAAAAGTTATGAGCTTAAGACAATTTCCATGATAATAAATCCTGCTAATAAAACGTGTAGTGATAGTGTAGAAATGCTCTCATGACCAGTGGTTTGTTGCCCCCTGCAGGTTCCTTTAAGTGACACAGAGTGTTCAGAGGTTGAACACAGGGTGACCGAGGGCCTCCTCCACCGGGGCCAACACATGCACGGGGCCCTGCCCATCGCCTCCGGCCAGCGCTGGAACCTCATCATCTGGATGAGAGCGTCGCAGGAACGCAACAAACTGTGCCCCATGTGCAACAGGAAGCCGACACTGGTGGAGGGAGAGGGCTTTGCTGACGGGTTCACCAAACACTCTAACGCCTCACTCAACGTTTCCTGTGTGCTGACGTAGTGTATCCAGCTGTTACAGGTCTTTTATAAAAGACACTATGTAAGATTGAAATTTGCGAGTTTGGCTTCCCCAGGTGTTTTCGAAGAGGATACTGACAGATAGCGTTGCAGGCTGCTCCCTCCTGCTGATGCTGTAGGAAAGAAGATTTTTGTTCATCCGATCTAAATTGTCTGGGGATGCAGTTGAATAGACAGATATGCTGCTGTGGTTTCATGGCTGTAGAGTTAACCAAGATTACACTGGGTGACAGTAGAAAAACATTAATTCTAATGACACATTTTTACTGTATTCCAAATTGGAATGATTAATATTTATTATTTGTACTATTAAAAAGATAGTGATATTACTATAACTATAACTTCAGACTTTCAATTTAGTTTCCTATTGATCCAGTTATATTAAAAAAAAAAACACACTGGTCACACCCCTGTGTTTATGTACAATGTGATTGTTACTTATGCCAAAGATTATTTAGAGAAGGTTTATTTTAAAATAAGGGCTTTGCCGATCTTTTTCTTTACTTAAACTGAGTATTGATCTAATTCAGGGGGGAGGGACAGGAGTCACAAATTAGCAATAGCTATAAAGTGTTTGTGCAACACATCAGTTTTGCTCTGTTTTGAAATGTTAAATTGCATTCTCCCTATCAAATAAATAAACTAAAACTAAACAAAAAAATGTGTCCTCTTTCCCTAAATCTAAAATTACTAAACCACTTATTTTTTTAAAAACAAAAAAAACAAATTGTCCTTTTTGTATCAGGTAACATAAGGTCAGGGTTGCAGTGGCACTCAATTAAATGAAATTAGCAGGAACATTTAAATGCACCCTGTGGACACTAGTAGTGCTACAGAGCACTGTATTTATCAGTGGATCCCTGTTTTATTTGTAGCATGCACAAAAATTAAATGTCATACACATAAAGGCTGCTGGCTTCATACTTTTCCAAGAAGTGAGGCAGTGTGCCAACAAAGGCAAGACTGCAAGCTAGCAAACAGATGTAACCAATGCAGGATTTGAATAAATTAAAAATTTTGGCTTTGCGAATGTTTTATGAGAAAGGAAATGCATTCAACGCATAACTTTTGTTTGTATAAGAAAAGTCCACAGGAAACTTGAATTCTATAATTAAATTGTTGATGAGTCATATCTGGCCAATACTCAACTTTTGCAAGATAACAATATAGAAAATAGTTGATCAGATCTCTGGATTAGGAAGAATGGAAATGAACATATATTTCTGATGATCTGTATTTCTCTTTTGACACAGCCAGGACAGATTTCTCAGTTCTGCTACAGAATGGATAAAAGTCACCATGTTCAACTTAAGACAACACACATAATTTGGAATAATAGTATTTTAATTACATACATTATATCTATCAATTCATGAATATCCATCCTGTGTGCATTTGTTTTTTATTGCCATATGAATTTAGTGTTGTGCTGAGAGTTAATTATGTTCTCGTACAAAGTTGTGGAGAGTAAAAACAAACATGAACATGTTACGCTACATCTTGCAAAATAAAGTGATGCTTTTCAGCAACATCACAACATCAGGACTTTTTGGTTGTTTCTTTTTGTTCCTGGTAAATGTGCCAATGCTGAGAGTTGAACTGGAGGGAAACAGGGAAAAGGAGAGCTGGTTCTCTGGGATCAGAGGCACACTGCAGCATATTCAAACACACACCAAAACACAAATTTGCAAAAGCTAACGTACAGTAAAAGGCATGGCTTTGTACAGCTGACTTTACAACTTGATGTTAAATAGTTCTGTTACTAACTCTGAGCTTGTTTTCACATTTCCTGTTTCAAAATCAAACTGTTCACACAGGCTGATGTGAAATTATTGTACAATAAGTTTTGGTTTGATTTCAAGATTAGCTCGGATTTAAAATAATTACAATAATAGTACAATATCAATGTAGCTAGTAATAATAAAGATACATATTTTCACATCAAATATATCATTCTATACAGATAAATATTTCCTCTTTCATTAGGGCCATTTACATCATACAAGTAAATAAATAAATTCAGTTTCCAATAAACTATTTAGAGCAGAATTTGTCAAGATTGCACCAGTTTAAATGCAGGTGCATTAAAACTTTTAACTTCTCCAGCTGCATTGACTGCATCGGTCCCATATCAGTCTGTTCAGGTGTCAGTATGCACACAGCTGTCAGTCTGTGCCACCTCGTACTGTCTGTGGGTCAGCACTGGCTGCATTCAGTAGTCTGCCCACATAATGTGCATTGCTCTGTCAACAAGACGGCATGTCTCAGCTTTATAATGTGGTCTCACTGCTCATGTCCCGGGGCCGGTGGTGGTCGATGTCCGAGTCATAGTCCGACTCCATCTCAATCTTGACCTGGGGCACGGGACAGGCCATTCCTCGGCCCATGGGCATGGCCGGAGATGACGGGCAGGAGATCTTCAGGTGGAGGGTGATGCTGAGAAAGGGCAAGCTCCAGTTACCATACACACCGACAGCCAAATAAACCGAGGGGCTACTGGGGAGGGCGGAGGAGCTCAGCCATGAGGGGTCATGACCCCAGGCAGAAACTACAGCAGCTCACGTCAGTGATGAACGAGAGAAGATAAACTAATGAGTTTAATGAGCTGCTGCAGTGGTTGTTTGTGGCCACAACGGCTCACAGTGGAGATTGGGGCTGATGACTAGGATACGTAAGTTTTTACTATATTTTATTAAACAAAACAAACCTGATTTTTTAAATATGAATATTTACTAGTACAAAATTAAATATGCACTGGTTTTGACTTTGATGTCAATTGATACTTTAAGTTTTGCCCCTAAGTTCTTATGTTTACTTGTGCTCAGTCAGTCAGTGCTTGTCGTCACATTATTGGTTTAAAGAATGACTGAATGCAGAACTTAAAGTGGAAGCTGTATCTCTTTAAAAATGTTGTACTTTGCCAAAGAACCGAGTTTGGAGGGTTTGGTGACAGAAATGGATTCTAGGTACGCAGAAATCTTTCAATAAAGCAAAATCACAAACCATAATCTTATCTATCCACAGTTGACAAAATAAATGCATATCAATCAGTTACAATGTCAATTCCAAACCATGCCTCTTTTAAAGCAATGCAGACATGATGGGCAATTTTGAAACTCCAAATTTCCCACAAAGGATGAAAAACAGTCAAACAAAGTATTTATGCTTAAATGTTTAGCAAAATGAGTAAAGGCTGCACTTTCAATGCAAAATCATTCCATTGAAAATGCTGTGGCTCCAGGTGAGGGCAGTTCATAGAGCAGGAAGCTAGGGGTCAGGCTATGTTTCACATGCAGGTGTGGTTGATTTTATTAAGAGATTCAGCACATGAAGGAAAAAGAAACAACCAAAACAATGATGCTTGTTGCATGTGGATGATTATACAGTTCAAAAGAGCCTACAATAAATGTATCAATAAATATGCTCTAGATATACAACAGGCTTATATATAACACATTAGTTTTGTTCCTCTATTTAAACTCCACATATATTAATCTTCATAGAACCCTGATCAGTGGCTTTGAGACACAGATAAAACTACACAGCATGCATTTGAATTCATCACCCTTCACCTCACAGTCACTGCCTTTTGGAGTTGTTCTCTTACAATGAAGAATTACAGTTTTCTGTACAAAGGGCAGTGCAGTGCACATACTGTTGGACATGTAGCACATGACACAGGAAGAGCAGCAGCAGGATTAGACAGTTAATAACATTACAGTCATCTGCATTGCCTTAAAGTGCATGGAGAGGAGACTGAGCCCAAACATGACAATAAGGGGAAACTGGACTGTGGTCACAATATTACATGTAAATAATCTGACTCCAATAGTGATTCATGTGTCCACCCATAAAAGTGAACATGTGTTTGATTTACATTGATTATAAAAATCTGAAAATGACCAGCCCATAACACAATAGAGCTAATAATTTGTTCTCCCTGGGGGAGGGGGGGTATTTCAGGCAGCATAACACAATGCAATGCAACACCATAAAAAAGTAAGATCCCTTATGGGCTATTGTCATGCTACTGTGGCTACCCTGTTGTTTGATTTGTAATAACAGGTTAAAGTTTGCTGTGATCGTTTTTTTTTTACTTTTGATAAGCTGTAAATTAAAATATGTTGTTTTGTCCATATTTTTAAAGATTTAGTTCACTCAAATTACAAAAACATATTATCATGGACCTGTAGTGGGATCTAACCATGCAGAAAGTTTCTGTTTTAGTTGAGATATTTGTTACATAGGCCCCGTTCAGACCTGCATTAACATGCGTCTTCAGTGATCTGATCTCAAGTGGTCAGGTATGCGTTGTTGTTTTTAGCCAATCCAACAGACTGGTTTGTTGTCAATGTGCTTGGGTGTGTGTGTGTGTGCGTGTGTGTGAGTGTGTGAGTGTGTGTGTGTGTGTGTGCACATTTCCTGTGAATGACTGAATGTTCATATGCACACGGGACCACAATGGGTGTCAAGTTATGTGTGTGTAATAGAGAGCTTGTGCGTGTGTTTGTGTGTTAGTGTGTTAAAGAGCACTGTGTGTGTCAGCAGGCTGGCAGTACGCTCCCCACTGAGTCTCTGCAACATCAGGATATACAAGATCTTTGTAAGGGATGTGCAGTTTGAGGACACAGTACCTGCGATCCAAGTCTGACTCTGAGCTGGGTGAGTGGTTGGAGTAGGGGTGGTACTTGTCCTGTGAGAAAGCACACACGTGTAACACACACAGATCATTAACTCGTCTCATGATTCATTATTCCTACAGGGGGCAGCAGAAGCTTGAGTTTCTCACCTCCTCCTCACTGTCGTGTGGTTTGGGCTTCTTCTTCTCCTTCTCCTTACCCTTCTTCTTATCGTCATCCTTCTTCTTCTTCTCTTTCTCAGGCAGGAGGTCGTCCAGCCAGGCCAGGTCATGCTGGGAAAAGACCATGTCCAGCATCTTCCGGACAACCATCAGACCCAGGATCTGAGGGGTTGGCACAGAAATACACAGACACACAAGCCTTGTTTTAACTCCTAGTAACATTCATATCTGTCTCCCTGGTATATACAGTGAAATCAAATGTTAATGTTTACACTCTTAAAAATGTACCTTTATTAAACCTGTTTCTTTATATTATAAGATTCTAACTTCAGTTTTGATATGAACAGTTTTAAAGTTTGAAACTGTTTATATTATTTTTTTACTGTAATACTTCATGGCCCATTTAAAGCCTTCAATGAGACTCAGTTGCAAACAAAAATATGAATCTGATAGGTCAAAATAGATAATATGGAAACAATTTAAGACCAGTGAATTAAATTACAGGCATCCAACAAGGAAAAAAAAAGAAAATTAAACAAAATACAAAAACATAAATAAGTAAATACTTAATACATATAATATCAAAAAGAAAAACATAACCAATCCAAATAAAACAAAAAACAAAAAAAGAAGAAAATGTGTTCTACTGCTGCCCGTCTTCATGCACCCACAATAATAACAACACAGGATCCCTCAGAACCTGTGTTGATATGCAAGTCTGCTCCATCACATACCATAACAGGGAAGATGATGGCCAAGAACGTTGATTTGAGGATCCAGAGCACAGCCAGACAGATGATCTGGACCAGTGTGAACAGGTGTACTCTCCTCAGAGGAACATGACGGAGGAAAGAAAAGTCTGGCTGGTGCTTGGATGGCATCATGTACAACTTAATCCTGTCCCAGAACTGTGGAGGACGATGAGACGGGCAGATTGAAGAGAAGAGCATAAGGTCTGAGTGGCACAGGTTAACTACATGCAGACCTCTCATATTAATGATTAATTCCAAATTATTCAGGGGAGATTTGTATGCATCACCGCTCTGCTTGCCAGTGTGCAATGAGTTGCAGGAAAGTTTCCAAGTAGCACCTGGTCTATCACAAACTCACCAAGCTCTGAGCTATACATTTCTGAACTCATCTAAATGCATCAGTGAAATTTATACTCTAGATATTGGTTATTATAACACAACGCCATCAGAGCCTCAGACACAATCAGGACAAGTGCAGTTTATATATTCAGTCAACAATTTGATATCTTGGGCAACTCTTTTTTTTCCATGTGATTCTGTTGTCTCTATGGTTTGTATGGACACTGCAGATCATGTCTGCCTGTCTGCTTGCTTGTTTGCTTGGCAGATCTAAATAAGCCACTTCCCGCCTGCTGTCAGATATGCAATAAGCAAGATGTCTAGCCACAATAACTCAATTTAATATGATAAATAACCTCAACAGCTGGCACACAGCGTACCTGGATTCCACTGAGCGAGGCTACGCCCATGTAGAGGAAGACACCGTACAGCACAGGCATGGGGATGAACTACAAGCAAAAGGAAGGAGAGGCAACATGTAAAACGTTTAGACAGTTAAGTTTCTAGACTGCCTACACTACAGGTGGTGATTTGTGGAACCCCAGAGTGTTCAATATTAAATGAAGAAATGAGTAACTATGAAATAAATAGTTTGATAATACAATAAAAATTCACTCCAATGAAACTATCATTATTTTATTATTATTACATAATTGCTGTTAAATAATAATGAAAATGAATTTCAAAATAATTTCAAAATAGTGAGTTGAGTTTTAATAATTTTTTATTATTTCACAATTTGTTTTTATAGTTTTTATATATATTTGACTCAATTTATTCATATGATAATTTATTTCATGATATTTCATTCATTTTTTAAATACTGAACACTTTGAGCTTCTGTAATAATGCAGTGGAAAATAATAACACCGACAAAGATGGTAAGAGAAATGATCAATAATATGACCAGTTATATTTTCAGAAAAGCATTTGTACAGGTTTTAAATCAGTCAGTCTAAAGCACTCAGTAAGCTGAATTTAGATGGTGTCACCCTCCACTAAAACCTTGATTACAAGTTATAGGAAACAAAAATCCAGAGCAAACACACCATGTACTTCATACCTTAAGTATTGGAGCGAGGAAGATGGAGACTCCGGTGAGAACAAACACCAAAATGCCTGTCACTCTTTGTTCTCTGTATATTGGACATTGATGAAATATACACAAGAGACCGTCAAGTCAATTTCACAAGGTTTTGCTGCATTTCAGCCACAAAGCAAATTCTCATACTCTGATATTGCCAACAAGAGTATGACGGGATTAATCCCAAGTTACAGTTTTCTGTTTATTTCTGTGTTCTGTGCTTTTATTTTACTGTGGACCAACCTGACCCCAAGGAACTGAGGCTGCTCTCCAGGAGCACTTGACTCGCTCTCCATCTTCAGAGAGTCGATGTGGGCGATGGAGATGACGGTGGCAGCAACGTACCAGGGCAGGCCGATGAAGGAGCAGGCAGCCATCAGGACACCAACCCAGAATAGATCCAGGTGATAGCCACAGCCTTTCTGCCAGGGAAACCAGACATGGATCATTTTTCAATTTTCAATAACAAAACAATAAGATTTCATGACCCAAGAATGATCAGCTAATATCTGAAATTGCTTTGTTGTATTTTCAAAGTCATTTTACAGTATATTAATAATAAAAGATCAGTATCCATAAATATGTTAAAATTGAAACTCATACAAATCTAAAGTCTAATTCTGACTTGATATGAGTTTTTTGAAGACTTTGTATTTCTTCAGTGGTAAACATATAGCAGTATACAGTACATAGTGGTAGTACACCTACCTTAAGTTTGTTCTCCTTGCGGTTCACAATGACAGCGCTGATCTGCTGGTCCATGAAGATGAGGATGGTGACAAGGAGGGCAGGGACAAAGCTGGCCACATATACCCACCATGGGTTCTTTCCAAATGGCATCACCAGCCAGCCACGGTCAGGTCGAGTTGGCTAGTAGGAGAGGAGAACCCATTTTATTTCCACAACTGAGCATGTTCAGTGGCACATGAACATTTTCTACAGAATCAGTACAAATTCAGTAATAAAGGGAATAAATCTAATTATTTAATTATAAACATATTTGTATTTGTTGAACAATTTAACCTTTAAAAAACATACCCCTGTATAATCCATTCTGGGAAAGAATGTTTTGTTACACTAAAAATGACCACTGAAACTAATGCCATGATTTACTTGTGCAGTCTATAATTTTGTAAGAGCAGATAATCTTTTAAATAGTTATCTTACTTCTGAATGACAGTTTGAAAACGATTTTCTATACCTTAAATTCTGTTGGGACAATTAGCTTGGGAGTTTTGAGTCCCATCAACATATCAAGCCCCACGAACGTCATTATGGACATGAAGATAGAGAAGTCACTGATGAGTTTCCTCAGCTGGTGCCACAGACAGGGAGAAACAATGAAATTCAAACAGTTTAGATGAGAAACAAAATAATGTCTTTGCAGAACTAAAAGGAGAGACCAAGTCTGATAGGAAGCAACTCATAAGCTGAGCTGCGCCTGGCTTCACTTGAAGTAAAGATAATTCTTTTTTTTTTTTTGTCTGTATGACTAATCACTTCCTGAGAGATCAGACACAGAACAGATGTGAGCAGCCGTGCCGTGTTGGGCCTGAGTGGATTGCACCAACACAGTTAGACAGTCAACAACAGGCCACAGTGCTGCTAAAAAGTACATTTATTATCAAAAGTGATAATAAATGGGCCATCTGTGTGAGAAAGTGTTGCAACTCCTGGTCAAAATCTGCTTGGTACACATTGTTTGGTTCAATTTCATAGACTGAAAAATGAAAACATTTGTACTCATTCAAAAACACTTTTATAGACTTACTTTAAATGTCTTTACTACATAAGACACTGTTTTTTTATTACCGTCTATATTTGCCCCTCGGTATGGAAGTCTTCATTATGTGTTCACTATTTGCATTTAAATTCAAATTTAAGATACCCTGTGGAGTTTTAGACCATCAGTGGCACTACGGAGCAATGTTTTTACAAAGAAATCTGTTTCGTTTGTATCATGTACAACCACAAGGACGCAGGAACTGTTCACACATTCCTGTCATTCCACCAATTGACAGTTGGTGGAAGTAAAGACAAAGAGTTAGTATAAAGGAATGGCAAACAAAAGTGGAAGAAAATGCATTCAGCATGTTTGTTTAATCCGAAGGAGTCACACAATGGGACTCATGCCAGTTGTACAAACAAGCTGTTGGTAGGGTCAACTAAAAATAAATAACTCTTAATATTAACATTAATATTTTGCTCATCATATCATCATGCCAATTTGCTGAGAAATTTTAAAAATGTTTTTTCTTTACTATTCTTTTTGGATTTTATTGGCATTGACAATTTTTAGGAAAAGGCTCTCACTCTGACAGCCACCTCAGGGTTTTTTGAGTTACAAGGATTTAGTTAGTTCCACTGTCATAAGGGTAAACCTCACAGAAACTACAATTACCGCCTTGCGGCTGTGTACCTCTGCCACCGAGCCAAGTTGCAGGAAATATGATTACAATCTCTCCTTCCTGAGTTACAGCATTGAATAATAGCCAGAGATGTTTTTGCAGAATACTATGATGTCACAGTGATGTGACCTTTGCCCATTTGGATATAAAATGTAATCACTTCATTTTATCCTTATAGATGTTTGAGTTCAATTGTGTCATAATCAGTGTATGAATTTGTGAGTTATGGCCAAAAATGTGTTTTGATAGGTCACAGTGACCTTTGACCTTTGACCATCAAATTCTAATCAGTTCATCTTTGCGTCCAAGTGAATGTTTCTGCCAAATTTTATGAAGTTCCCTTGAGGTGTTACTGAGACATCCCATTCTCCTGTGCTCAGGAGAATGGGATGGGCATCAACACAAAGAATGAGAATACATTGCATGTTTTCGTGAGAGACACTGAATGTAAACAGATTTTTTGTGTGTTTTCAAGAAAATTCCACAGGGCACCTTTAATTACTCTATTAATTGGATTGGAACTTATTCTGCAAAGTATGGTGAAAGCTTGTTTTGTTCATTTGAAATGATACATAGATGAACAGATAGTTTTGCTACCTTGGTGGGGAAGTAGCGGCTGAACTTGAACTTCTTGAGAGAGACGGTCATGGAGTAGGTGCCAAAGAAAAGGATGAAGGACATGAGGGCCAGATCAGGGACGAACTTGCAGGACTTTCCAACCAGGGAACCTCCATACTTCAGACACTCCTTCTTGCTCAGCTGGCTCCAGTCCAGAGCTGTCACATTCAACTGGGATGGTGGGTGGCAGTGGTGGGGAGACAGGAGAGGATGAAGAAGAGTGAAGTGTTTTGACAAAGACAGAGGAAAATGTAAACACAAAACAGAGAGAAAATTGTCGGCACGGATATGATGTTATAATCCATGGAGGAGAGTGAGAGGTTAATGGGATAGATGGTGAGAAACAAACAAAGGAGAGAAAGAGGAGAGCAAAGCGGCTTCTTTGTCAGACAGAGTGGATACCTGGGTTAGTTGTAAACAAGTTATTTTTTTATCTTTCCTAACAATATCATCATTATGAAACACCCCCTGTAATCCATTCTGCAAAAGCTGAAATGTTACAAACCCATTAAACATTCAGCTTGAAATACAATGCACCAAAACTGAGTAAAAAAACGAAAGCACTTACCCCAGAGACACTAGAGCTGTTATCTGGCATTGGAACTAAACCATTGAAGATCATTGCAGCCACTGTTTATGAATGGGAGAGGGACAGATAGAGACAGGGAGGTAATGAGACAGAAAATGAGGTAGTGAGGAGGAAAACAAAAGGGAAAGAAAAAGAAATGCAAAACATAATGAGAATCCAGCTGCTGGACATTGCAGAGAGCACTCTGAGGTCCATGCAGACAAACAAAAAGGTACTCACTTGCAAGAGACGGCAGCCAAATTGTTTGTGCATGGCAAAAACAAACAAGAGACAAATCAGTTACAGAGATCAGTGTCTACAGAAATTACTGCAAATCACTGCCATTTTCAAAAGTAGTAAACTGATTAGTGAGTCTCTAAGAATTTGTACATAGAGGGAATCCAACTTGAATTTGAATTTTTATTAAGCCATGCAACCCTACACAGAATAGTTGAAGTTGGTAATCAACATTCTCGTAATCATAATAGACAGCAACTACAGCCCAAATGATACAGGATACAGATATTTCCAGCACAACATGGTTAGTTTGGCTGACAAGATAAATATTCTTTGAGATAAATTTGCTATTTAGCACGCCTGTAAAAAAAACCTTCTAATGTAATTCCCTTAAGTAAAATAGCAGACACTCTGATGACTGATTGATTTTACTGTCCTCTACAACCTGCCTGTGATGTCAGTCTACTGAGCCCAAAATGACCCACTTGGAGCCACACTTCCTCTTTGTGGACAATCCCCCTGTATCTCCCTGAGTCAAGGGGTGAACTCACTCGGGTCTGGGGCCAGGCACTCGCACTTGTAGGTGGTGACGTAGTCGGGCTTGAAGTCAGTGTTGATGGGGTAGTATTTGAAGGAGCCCACCATCTTCTTGATGGCATCAGAGATGAAGATGAAGGAGATTAGGCTGGAGAAGCCCTCCTCAGTGAAACGCGTCATATACTTGATGATGTAACTGGCGTCAGTGGCTACCAGGATAAAACACTGCAGACAGGAGTGGATGCCAATCCACAGACGCAGCTCCATGTAATCTATGTCATTATTCCTTTGGGAGTGAGAAGTCAGAGGAGTATGGTGAATGTACTGAGGAATGAAATTCATGTACACAACCAACATAATTCACTTGCATTACATGCATTTATAAAGTGAATGTATTGATAAGGTTTAATGTTACAAATGTGACAACTTGCTCTAATGACCTTTGACATTGACTGAGTGCTCATATAGTTACTTCTGACATTAGGTTTTGATATTAGAATAACAATTTGATGAATGAATGAATTAGTCACCCAGCTGGCAGTATACTGTATATGTATGCTGTTACTATAGGAAGAGTTGACTGAGCATTTAGAATAGGATGTCGAATTAAATGTCAAAAGATATATCATGTATCTATACCTTATATTTACAGTGGGCTCCAAAGGTCTGAGTCCACTTTGCTAGTCAAGTAAAGGTGAAAGTCTCAAAGTTCAGAACCCAATTAGGACTTTCTTCTTTCTTCTTTTAAGGTAAAAATCAACTTTTTGTTCTCCAAACTATGAATCGAATTGAATGCAAATCATGACCATAACATTGAAAAGGGGTAAAACACTACAGAGTAAAAGGTTAAGTTTTTTTGCTATATAATGAGATTATCAAAGAATATTCTAATTCTAATATTAAAGCAGTACTTCAGCATAATTTGGTTCTAAAGACGCTCACTTGCTGAATTCAAACAGGAGCTTTTCAAAGATGAGGATGGGTCCAGTGGAGCTGAGGATGATGAGTGGCTGACCGCTGAAAAGACAGAAGACAGTGCCAGCCAGAGCTGTACCCAGGAAACTCTCCATCACACCCTGTTGAAAGACGAGGTGGGAGTCACAGAAAGAAGGTTATTCTGCACAGAAACAGAGGAGGGAGAGAGGAGTTGTTGTGGAAAGAAATTTGAAAAATGAAAATGCAGTAGTAGTAGGAGTAGTTTCTGTGTGTGAGTGCATTTAACATAAGAGAAAGGGTCAAACTGTTGTATTCCAACTTGACAGGGAGGGGAATGAATGAGTGCCAGTCAAAGTACTTATCTGAAATGATTCCTGTGTATGTCTGTGTATGAGTGTTTATGTTTGTGTCGGTGCAAAGATGTTGATGCACAAGTAGAAAAAGGAGAGACCCAATCTGATGTAAAACCACACTGAACTGAACCAACAAGTGCAGTGGCCCTTCAGACTTATTTATGAGGCCAAGAAGGTCATATTAGAGAGTGAATGACATCAGTGTTTTATCACTGAGCAGTAAAATTAAATTAATGATGATGTCTTTCAGTTTTTCTCACACATAAAGAAGATTGACAGGCCTAAGTAGATTGTTTAACTAAATTAAGTGGAGGAAAACAGTGTCAACTGTATGACAAAATAGCAGCATTTGGTTAAAAACTGACAATATATCTTAGCTAACCTGATAAATATGACACACAAATTACACTTGAACTTCCTGGGCTGACACCAGTTGATGTCAATCTAAGAGCTGCTATTCGCCCGTGTTTATATTTGGTTCACTGTAAAAGACTTTCCAGCCATGTTACATGTGAATGTGACTGGATTTCATTAGATAATCTAGGCAAGCTTTGCCCCTAGATTCATGAGCACACATTGTATACTGGAGGGGAAAAGAAAGAGGAATACATTGTGCACAGTTGTGTCATCAGAAATCATCTCTGTTGTAGCTGCATTCCCTTATTTTTAAGAAATGTTAAGGTAATAGTTCTACATTTTGGGAAATATGTGTTATGTGCTGTTTTGCCAAGAGATAAATGGGAGGATTGATATCAATCTCATATCTGTCCAGGTAAATATATGACTAAAGCCAGCAGCTGTTAGCTTAGCTCAGCACAAAGACTAGAAGCAGGGGAAACAGCTAGCCTGGCTTTGTCCAAAGGTAACAAATCCACCTACCAGCACCTCTAGAGCTCACTAATTAACATGTCATATCTAGTTTCGGTTGGTTATGTTCTGAACTATATCTTGTCTGGGAGTATTGACTAAAGGTTTTTGCTGGTTGCTGGGAAACCTCACGGTGACAACACTGCTCTCGGCCAAGAAGTAGTTCCACACATAAGCTGTGTCCCAATTCAGGGGCACATCCTTCGGAGGCTGCATTTGAAGACTGAATGCGTCAGAGCAGAGAAACTAGGCTGTCCCACTTTGAAGGCTCCTTCAAATGCAGAGAAATGCGGCCTTCTCAGGTGCATCCTTCTTGGCCCAACCTATCCCAAAATTCATTACACACCAGTAATGAAAATAATATGGCAGCAAACAACACCAACAGAGAGCCCGAGCTAACAGTACAACTGTAACAGTACAACATACATTTTTTGGATATATTCAACAAACAAATTACAACATGTTAACATGTTAAGGAAGTTTTGGCTGGATCTGTATACTAAGCTAAGCTAACCATCTGCTGGCTGTAGAGATATATTTAACTGAGAAACATTTGTATCGATCTTCTCATCTGACTCTTGGGGAGGAAAGCGAATAAGCGTATATCCCAAACTGACAATTGCAAGATCTTTTTTTCTATGAAGTGCAGTTTTGTTTATGAAGCAATCACCCTAAACAAAATCAGTCATCTTGATAAATAATAAACAAATAAATAAATGAAAACAGAATTAAGTGCTAGGTCATAATTTCATCATCATTTGGAAAAAGTTCTATTAAACTACTTTATTATCAAGATTATTGAAAATGTCATAAACATTCTGTAATAGTGTAAAGTTAGAGACAAAATCTGAAAGCATGTAAGGTCAGGGTTTGTCTACTTAATAAACCATGTTACATAAATTGACTAAAATAAATTGACTTGTTCTATTGCCTGAGTTGCCATTCTGGTTTACCTGGTAGTTGTCGGTGGCATCTCCTAGCAGGCCGCCAAAGGTAATGGCGTTGGTGATGCAGCCCAAGTAAATGAAGAGCACAGCAGAGATGGACTGTATGTGAAAACCTTCGTAGAAATCACTAGGCAACCATGGCAATTTCCGCTTTATGTCCAGGTACAGCCCCCCACAGAAGCTGTGATACATGCACATACAAAGTGGTTAGGATTGTTCACACATCTCAGCATGACACATATTACTTTCTCTAAAGCACAAGAGTATTTTAGCCTGGCATTTCTTAAGAGTGGATGGAATACTTGTAACAATCATTTACAGCGAGCCTAGCTTTTCTATGCAACTTTAAAAAAAAAAAAAGGACTCCTGCATTGTATTTTGAATGAAACACAACGAAATAGACATTGAAACCTACACTTTCAAGACTGATTTTTTTTATCTCAACAATTCAGCTTGTACTAATGTTCTGAAAAAGATCATGCATCAGATGAATAAAGATACACTTTAAATTGAATTTTATTGTACATTTCCTGTTGTAAAAGAAAACAGGAGGCGGGAAATTGGGTTCGTTGATCCTGTTGTTTTAGGCACAGCTGAAACTGGCAGTCCGAAACTGCCAAATTGACTGAAGATTAATCTTTGTATATTCAGTTAAAGTGCTCATTAGGGAGCATCTGCATATTTTGGGGAGTTGAATTTGTACCCAGATTATTTTCCCACTTTGCCATATTTGGACTAATTCATATTCAAATTTCCTCTCCATATGCCAGAGTCAGGTTAAGCTCGATCCAAACCTCTCAGCAGTTTGCCATGTGGCCTGGACAACCTACCGTCCAGTGAATGCCAGCTCCTCTCCGAGCTCATGTTGCACTGGCATCTCCTCATCCTCAGCCAGGCCTCCTCCTCCCCCAGCTGTACCGTTCATCTGTCCCAGTTCATTCAAGGAGAATACTGACTTCCTGCAGAAACGATACGGCACAGATGGAACCAAATATGGGGCGTCACAATTAATTTGTGTTTATTTGTGTTTACTCCATGTTGTTGTAAGGACTGTTTCAGAGGCTTTTCAACCCCACAAGCTTTGGCTGATGCTAGCAGACGACATGGAGGCATTATTCCACCCTGCATTAAGTTCTACTCTGCAGGTTTCATTCAGGAAACAATTTAGTTTGCTGTAAGTCTAAACCTTGGACAAAACAAGCATATTGCTCATTGGGACAGAGAAACTGAGAGATTAATGTGCATTATTGAGGTGAATGGTAAAACTCCAACCTTTTGTCAGCTGAGGGGACTTTCTTTGGCGGCTCAATGCGGATTTTGGGATCCCATTCTCCAGGTGGAAGCACAATTACTTCATCCAAAAACTCATCAATGCCTGCGATGAGGTCCTCCCGGTCTCTGGCCTTGTAGGCTACATCACTGAAGAGCTGGGAGGGGGAGAGATAAAGGGAGAGAATTTCACCATTTCACTTTGGCTTATATCACAGTGATTGTGATCAGTATGTAATGCTCTAAAACTAGGATCTGACAGTTTCCAATCCTCTCTAATGGTCTCTGGGGACTTGTTAAACATAAATTGTGGAAGCTATATCGACATTTTGACCCCAGTTGGATTACATTCAAAAACAACTGTCAGTCAGTACCTAATCATGCCCTGGAAACACTGTGAGTCAAGTGCTCAGGAGCATAACACAGAAAAAAAAATCAAAGATTCTAATTGGCAATGACTTGGGCACTGGTCCAGTTCTAGTTTTGTAACTGGTCACATCACGCTGCACAGACCTCATTAGGATTGTAATCCAAAAAACAGCACCAGCTAAATATCTGAGTGAAACACAGCAGGTGTCTGCAGCCTAGGGAATATTTTTTCCCAAGAGTGGTTTGTAGCACCTTCATTAATTTTCTCCCTCCCACACAAACAGTCTAACTTGATTTTGGTCTGCAGAACAATCACTGAATGTACTGGAGCCTTTGGCTCTAAACTGCCAAGTTTCTAGATTGACTCAAATCCAGCTAATAACTGCACATGGATTTTATAGGCTGCCTGCTCCTACTGTATGTTTGAGTAAACACTCAAACTTAAGATAAACCACTTAATTAGACAAATGTTTCACAGTTAAAGTCAGTGTTATAATCTTTGGCTTTCTGCTTCTTTGTCAGACAGCTTCTCTGTGGTCACATACAGATCAAATAAACACAAGAATAAACCCAGCAGGCATTTTGTCACTGAATAGAGGAGGAAACATTAGTATAGAGTCCTGCTAAAACAACAAACAAGAGTCTATAGCCACATTACCAGCTCTGTCAGGCTGTACTTGAGCTGAATGCTAATGTCAGATCACAATGACAAAGCTTACATACTTAAAGGGGCTATTTCAGTCACTGTTGCGTTCACAAGACGAGGTTATAATACGCCCTCTGAGCAGCGCTATGTCTTCAGGCTACTGTAAGTTGCTATCAGAAAATGACGAGCCAGGGCGGGGCTAGCAGGTCAGCATGCTAACTTCAGTTGAAGAAAAGACGTGATGGAGACAAGTTAACATTGGCGCTGGAGACAGCTCTTAGTGAGTAAAGGAATGAAATTGGATGCTCAACTTTTTCTTCTAGACTGGTCAGTATACAACTGTTAATGCTAACGCTCGCTATGTAGCAGTAGAAATATAGGTACTTTAAATTTAGCAAATATTATGTTTGTCATGTTCACCATTTTAGTTTAGCATGTTATCAAGCTAACATTTGCTAACTGGCACAAAGTCAAGCTAAGTCACATGGGAATTTTGCAGGTATTTTGTCATTTACTAAAGGAAAGGGAAAATAAAAATTGTCACCTTTAAAAGTCATCCATATATGTTACCTTACTGAGCGTAAACGAAACAAATATTTATGATGTTACTTAAAAACAGAATAAAAAAATCATTTAAAACTGCCCTTCAATGTCACATTATGAAGGTGTTCTGCTACCTGAGGAAGGAGTGTGGTTGGACCATATTTGGGAAGATTTAACTCCTATTAAGATGCCAGATTATAATGGAGGTCAACTTCAAATCACCAACCAGAGCTTGACTGTCAGCGTTTAACTGTGGCTGGTAAACATAGCATTGTTGTTCCTGAACCTAAACAAGTTCAGTTTAATAATAACAGCCTAACAGTATAACTTGTTAATAACAGCCTATCATTTCTTCACTACTTCATCTGCTATTAAAACTGCATATTTGGCTTAGTTAGGAATCAACACAACAGCTCAAACTGCATTCAGCAGCCAGAATAACACTCCCATGAGCAAACCATGGTGACTCAATATTGCAATAGAAACCCTGCTCCAACCTGATGCTTAACAATCAGCATCACTTCCAGACGTAATTAAAACACAATAGTGGGTATCCCAGTGGATCAGCAGGCTAAAGCCCACACCACACACCCTGCATATATTTCAGCTTCGACTGCAGCTCACAGCCCTTTCCAGGAAATGACACTTTCTTGTTCCACATGTTTACTGAGACATAGTGAGTGTCAGTGTGTGCTGTCTAACAAAGGAGGTGTATCATGTAAACATTTCATGAGAGATACTTACATCATCCACCATTAGGGTTGCTATAGCTCGGCCAATCTCATTATATGACTTGGCCTTTCCTTGAGGTCCCAGCAGAATAAACAGGAATCTGTACAGTGATGAGACAAATTTTAGGTATGTGCAGGGTTGGCAGGTGTCTGTGAAAAGGACTTTGTTAAGTGAGGGTCAACAAGCAACAGGTCATTTCACCTGGTGGGTACAGGGACCTCAGTCAGACCTCCTAGTGTCGTGGCTTGGGCCAGGCGGACAAAGGCCACAAAGGGTTTGTTGAGGAAATCCACTTCGCCCACCAAGACATTGGATGCCTCTGCATCTCTAGGGATCTTCTTCATGAATTTGTTCTTTAGCTATGGAAGGTGGAGCCACAAAGACAAACATGGTGAGACAACATCATATACCAGTTGGGTTTGCACCACATTGGTATATACATATCTTAGGTTTTTTTCCTATGGTCCTTTGCACCATTATTTTGTATCTTATATTTATTACTTTTCAGTCATCTGTGTTCTAATTTACATGTTTTTACAGCTGGAACAATGAGACAGAGAATTGTTTGCAAACTGTTTAGATAATCAATTCAGTAATTTTTTAAGCAGAAATGGCAACTATTCCCGAGTTACAGCTTCTTGAATGTGAGGACTTGCTGCTTTTCTGTGTTATATGTGATAGTAAAGTGAATACACTGCAGTAATAAAAACAACACAAATACTTGCTAATGCTCTTGGAAGTTATGTAAAGGGAATTTTTCACTATAGTCTATAGTTAATCAAGCAAATAATTGGGAAATTAACTGCTCATGAAAATAACTGTTAGCTGCAGCCCCACGTGTTTATTCATTCAGGTTTTTCTCCTGCAAATGATGTTGGTGACATAATTTGTTACCAACAGTCAGAATCTGGCAGATAAGTCTGGAGGGACATCAGTTAATTAGCAGACATATGCAATACAACAACCCAGTGTTGCTCCATGAACATTAAACCTCCAGAAACACCAAGTAGAGAGGCAACACAACTATAGCCAGACACAGCTGTGACAAAAAAGAGGCACAGCAAGCTAACCTGACCTGTCTGATTGAATGTAAAGGTGTGGCAGGAAATTGGACGGCAGCACAATAACACTCAATAATGGAGAGCCTTGCCAATAAACCATAGCCCGAATCTGTGGCTACATGTGAGGGGCAAGCACGCGGACTGGACAGTGAGATCCATGTTTTTTCTGGTGCCAGCTCAATACTCACACACACACACACACACACACACACACACACACACACACACACACACACACACACACACACACAGTAACAAACCGTCACTTGTCCGTTGTCACATGTGACCTACTGTAGTCCTGTAAATACAATTTGAAAATCCAGCCAACCACTCATAACTGGGGTACTTGGAACTGGACAACCAGTGCTTGTCCTCATAGTTGCACTAACAAATAAAGTTCATAGCCCACATCACACTAATTCCCATTCATTTATTTTTATACATTAGTCATTACACTGAATGACACTTAATGCTGACCTGTCTGTTTAAAAGCCCGGTAGCCTAATCCAAGTAACAACAGCATGCCCTTGCAACTGTTCAAGCATGTGTCACCGGGTTTAAGCCACATTACTGCATCAGACAAAATAATGAGGGAGTTATGTGTTTGCACGCTTCCTCCATCACTGGCTGTCACCTTCACTAGCAACTGCAATGAAAGATTGATGCAACTTAGGATCGAGCTAGCTCTCTCCTCTCCAGTGAAACATCAATTCAACACAACACAATGCCTTACTGACATATGAGATAGGTAATCTCACAAATAATGGAAAGCAACAAAGTGGAAAATGAGTAGAGATAGCTTCCATGCAGATAAATAGACATTTGCTATTAAAGAAGACAGGAAAATGAATTTGGCCATTACAAATATTCGGGTATATAGCACCAAAGCTGCACTAATGGAAAATATTTTATAAATTTATATGTATTTTAAACTTATTCAATATCAGTATCTAATGTTTATATATTTTAATGTGCTCTTGATGCAAAGAAGATTAAAACAAAGCTGAGCTGTAAAGTCACAATAATGACTCACCTGGTCTGTGCTGGGAGTATCTGCAATATCGTTCATGCTCCTACTCTGAGCGTGACCTGGATGGAAAAACCAGCAACAGTAACATTTATAACCCCTTAATTACATGTTACATGCTTTTAGCTCGTATAAGCTCTGACAGTGTTATCAAGAGCATACACTCAGTAGCCACTTTATTAGGTACATCTGTATAGTCTGCTTTTATGATGCCAAAAATGTTCAGGTTTTTTGACAGTGAGCTGTTAAAATAAATTACATGTTTAGCATTGCACAACTTAGCAGGGAGGGAAATCAAATCAAAAAAGCAATAAGACTGAAATTGATCCTTGTTGCACAAATCTACAGCAGGATTTTAGGGTTTAAGATAATGAAGCAATTCAAAGAAGATAGTTTTATCACACTAATTGGAGATTGATATCTTGTCTTGCTGAATGCCTATCCACTGAATCATGATTTGTTACTTCTAATATGTTAATTCACCCAAAAAGGCAGTGACACTATTTGAGTTTCAGCAGCCATAACTCTCACAAGCTGAGGTCAATTAAAAAAACATCTGGTGTGATTCGAGTGCAGATGGTGAAGGCATTCCTCATTCTATGGGTAGATGACTCACTTTAACAAATCAATCTGGTTGATACAGGACTTTGAGTAAAAAGTAAGAAGATGCCTGTAAACGTCATCCACCTCAGATTTTTATCTCTCTTAGGGTTTTTATATTAAACATCTAATCAAAGAAATATTAAACTGTGATCTGGGAGTCACTGTGTAATCTCTGTGAAAGCTGCTGGGTGTCAGTTTGAGCTCTGGGATGATTTAAATGGTGTTTCAGAGATTTTTCCACCCAACAAGACTCATGAAAATAGTCAGAAATTTTGAAATGGTTTATATTTTCTGTTAAAAAATCAGTCTCTGCCTTCAAAAAACAAAACCAATCATGGTTTTCATGAATCAAAACCTAGTCGTACCTTGTACCCTGAAAAAAACAAAGACACAGAGACAGAGACGCATATGAGGTGAAACAACCCTTTGGCAGTCACTCACGCAGGCGGCCATAGTTGGCAGACTGCTGTTTCATTCTGAGGTCTTCTGTGGATCGGTTAAAGTTGGCTATTGGCCCCGGAACTGGCCCTGGACCTGGTCCACCTCGGGACCCTACATTACGATCTGGCAAGGGAAGGGAAGCAGAGAAAGACACAAACAGCAACAGTGTTTAGAGGTGATACTTTATCATTTATCTATGAGATGAGATGAGATGAGATGAGGAAATGCCACAGCGGTAATAAACTCATCAAACATTAATACACTCCCTGTGGAGGATATGAGCCTTGTTGACTGCAGGAGTGGATTCATTAATTTACCAAGTGAGTCAAATATACAGATAATGAACAATCATATGAGGGATCAGAATGGACCAATCATTGATAAAGAAAAAAAATTGCTATGTGTCAGGGACACACAATTCAGGCCGTCCAACATTGTAGGTAGTCTTATTAAACATGAAAATAAGATATGACAAAGTGTCTGCCATTCACCACTACAACCTCCTCAAATTTTGTGGAATGAAAATGTGGAAAAGAAAGAAAATGCAGCAGTGTCTGATAACTGAGCTGATTATAATTTTTTAAAGTGCTCAGTAAACTATCAAACTCAAAGGAATAATTGTCCCATTGTGTAGTTTTGGGATAAATCTAGATGACAAATTGCAATAGCTACAGGTAAAGACACTCACTGGTCGAGGAGCTGGACTTGCCAATATCGGCAAGTGAGCGGTGGATTGGCTTCTTGGTCTGGTGTCGATGTTTCCTCAGCAGGACAAAACTGATCTTCTCTCTCAGATCAGGGGATATCATGCCCTCCTCTATCTGTCTCTCAATGATGTCATCTGGAGAAAAACACATCTGTATGTTACATGAAGAAATATGACATTCAGATCTAGTGTTTCCAAAACTATAATACTGTAGTTTGTTGCTATATATTATATTATGGTCTATTTAATGTATAAAGATATATAAAGTCCAAATCCTTTATAGTAGTACACTTCAGAAAAGAGTATCGAATGGGAAATGCCCTTTAACAATACACATTGTGCACACACATATAATCTATGAGTAAATCTATGTACATATATATATATATATATATATACTGTATACGTGGCCAGCACAGCCACACACACACACACACACACACACACACAAACACACACACACATATATACATACATATATGCAGATGTACACAATGTGTATTGTTAAAGGGCCTTTGCTATTCAATATAGTTAGAATAAAGTCAGTTAAAGTCAAAACAGTGTATAGTAGTACACTTCTGAAAACTGTATCAAATGGCAAATGCCCTTTAACAATACACATTGTGCACACATATATATATATATATATATATATATATACCCACCATTCATTAATACTGTCATACTACAATTAAAATGTGTAGCTTGTGGGTTTAAGTAGCACTGAAGCACAGTTTGATGTTCAGTGTAAAGGATGGCTGTGCTAGCTAATTTCCCTCCTGAGAATGGAGAATCTAGATCCCCAGGCTCCATAAGAGCAATGTTTGTGCATCTCATAACAATGAATTCAGATAGTCCTCTGTGTATTATCATCATCATGATTTACTGGAGAACTTCATGCAACAAAGATGTATTTTCTAAGAACAGTTAATAATCAAGGATTCTAGCTGGTCATTTTTACTTAAAAATAACCGCTCAATTAAAAGGACAGCCAGACACCAAATCTGATTTTACTATAATAAGGCTACGTTCACTCTTCAAGCCTTATTGCTCAATCTGGATTAAGGCTTTTTATGTTTGGCAGTTCACATTATTTTTTAAATGTGGCCATTATCAGATTCCAGTGTGAACTGGACACTGTCATGAGCTGATCCACATGTGCAACAGAACAATAACAAAGATGCCACACGCAGCATGCTGTTGTACAGAAGTAAACATGGAGGCCAGCAAATTCATGAGCATATGATAACAAGGATGAGGAGAAAGAGGGTCAGGAGTAGTGGGATGATGATGTGAATGTCTTCAGTGAAACGGAATTCATCTAAAATTTCAGGATGTCAAGGGCTACCTTTAACTACAGTGACTCCTGCCAGCACTGAACTGTGACAAATGTTGATCTAGAGTGACATAAAAGTAAAAATCAGACCTGTATCTGATTTAGGACCACATATGGAAGTGGGAAAAATCAGAACTGAAGAGATTACATTCCATTCGCTTTGTGCCACTCACACTGTTATGGGAAAAACAGATCACATATGAGCTGTTTGCTGTGGTCACAGACACAGCTGTTTGTATACTTTATGTATACATTACTCCAAATAATGCACCTACACTTACATAGACTACAACATTTTAAACGCAAGTCTTCTAAGGATATTAATCTTTAAAAATTCTAAATGTGTCTGGCAAGAGTTATCAATTTTAAAGCTATTTTAGGTTATTTTCTTTTTTTTCTTAAAAATTATCCAGCACCTAAGCTAATACAATTGATTAATGTGAATAAACATTTTACACTACTGAGCCAAATTAAACCTATTTTCCAGAGTCTAGCTATATAGGTCTAAAATTACCGCATCAATCACTTGACCACAGAATGGAAAATTGAAGTATATGCTATTAAAACAACATGGAGGTAGCTATATGCATGCATATAAAACTTTAACGTGCTATATGGAGCTTCAAAAAATGACCAGCAGCTCTTTAATTTTGCAGCAAACTGGGAAACACTGTAACTGTCATCACTGATTCTTGTTCTATTGATTGCCTAATTGATTTATTGACCACTCCATACAAATGCATCTGTGGCTTCCGTTTTTACATGGCATGAGTAGTATGAGGAGAATGCTGAAAGCATGAGTTGGCACACTCTTTGCAAATGTCACAGTGTTTTAACAGCAGGGAAAGTTAAAAGAGGTTGTTATGGTGTAAGGATACCCATAAAGTAGTGAAAATTTCACATTTGTAGTAGTAGCAGTAGCTAAACACTGCCTTCCTGAAAATAGCTCAATTGGTTAGGAAACTATCTACAGTAACTTGTGGGCAAGAGAACCATGATTAATGTTCACACTAGCTACTACTGTATTTCATTCACTAGATTCAACTACCAGCATATACTATGAAGGTGTTGTTATTTGGTCACTAGTTTATGGGGGTAGGTGTGCCATAAAAAAAGAATAAATCTGTAAAACAATCAGAAAATACATGTGGAAATATAGAGAGGAATAAAAGAATAAATATATACATATATATAATGTAATTCAACAATTTTTATATGTTAATTTTTCCTTATTGCTTTTGCTTTTCCCAATTGCTTTTGCTATTACTTGAAAGGATAAACTGACAATCAACTGTCTTTGGGCAGGCCTTCCTGCAGACATGAATCCTGCTTTGACAGAATCTTTGTAGCACAGACAAGAGGAAACAGACACGACACGAAACATCATGATGAAGCTGATTAAGAGTTAAGGAAAGGTGTCTAACAAGTTTTTTTAACTTAAGGCATCCTGACTGTCAGCAGTTTCCATCAACAACTTTGAAGTAGAAGACCAGATAATGGCCAGCACACACAGAGAAAGCACATCCTTTACTTCTCCTCTGTGCATCATGTCTTCTCTTGCTGTCCGTGCTAAAAAGTTTCCACCAAAATACATAAATGACACTATATGAAGCTAAGTAAATAAAACAACTTTAAAAATGAAAAAAAACATAGTAACATATCAAAACAAACATTTTTAAATATGAATAAATTAACAAACAAATAAATATATATATATACAGAAGTAAATGAACAAAGTAATGTTCAAATATACAATTTTTTTTCTTTTTTATGGCACTCCTATCACTCTATATACAGTATGTGTATCTCACAACTAGCTACACTGCCACTCAGCCTTGCTACTAATAACCCTTCTTTTTAGATGAATAAAACTGTTGACAAGATACTTAGAACTGAAAACAAGGTCGCGTTTTAGTCATTGTAATATGAATTGCCAGCTGGGCTAATTGTGCATGTGTAATTGCTGCACAATGTGTAAGCAACCCTGAAAGCCAGAAAACTTATTTGGCTTTTCTGCCAGGCCGACAATTTCCATGTTAATGTGCGGGCGCCATCTTTGAGTCTGGTTCCAGTTCCAGTTCCTATAATACATCATAGCTAGCTACAAATTACTAGCTAGCATACGTTTAAAGCTAACACTATGTATCCACAAAAATACAGGGCCAAAAGGATATGCCTCTATGACTGAATATAAAACATTAACAGTGACTACTGAAGTCTTACACACAATAAGAAATTAATTTATCAGGAAAGAAGTCCTGATAATCTCACCGACTATTTGAGGCAGTGAGTATCCTTCCAGGTCCAGGAGCACTGTTCCTGTCTGTAGACATGTCCTGAGCTCAAAAAGACTGTGCAGGGACAGCGTGGACACATGGGGTTTACTCCACCTCTCCCCTCCTTCCTCCACCTTCTCTTCGAACTTCACCCACCTGAAGGCGACAAAGAACACAGAGCGAAAGAAAAGGTGAGGAATACAACTGTCGAGCTCCTATTCATGACACTGTATGAATGTGAAGCAGTGCGTTTGTGTTAAGTATAGGGCAGACCGACCTGAGTTCACTCACAGAGGAATACTGTGCTGCTCCGTGGCCTTAAATAATCACTGTTATGACTTTTATGACAACTGGGACCTACATTTGCTTGAGTCAGACTAAATTTTACGCACATTTTACAAGTTGCATCCAAATTCCTTCGTCGCCGTTGTAGACTGCGAGGGCCGAACCGAAATTAGACGTTTTGGCCAAATTACCATTGCCTGGCAAAGTGCGGCTCCTGTCGCCTAGCAACTTTGACTAAACGTAACCTTTTTCAAAGAAACTTGATGTTTTAAGGCCGTTGGTTTTAACAGTTGTAACATTAGTTGTTGACTGTGCAACATCTGATTGCACACACCTGGTCTTTACTGGTCTTGGTCTGTACTTCCTTTAATCTCAAAAACATCATGGCAGTTCCTCTTGAAACATCAAATTTTCTCTTAACTGACCCACAAAATCAGATTCTGAAGTTTTGGGTTAGATATTATCCATGGAGTTGCAAAAACATGCTTTATTTTCTATCAGTAAAATAACTAGTAGTAGACATTTTGACTTGTCAAAAGCAGGAAGAATACAGGTGGAACCAATAATATTAATCATGGCTCTGTTGTATTTAATTGCATCAGCAATCAGTGTCACTGACTGATACAATACTGTGACTACACTGAATACAGCCATTGTTAATGTTATACACCTGTGTATGACAATGATCTGTGCCTAGTTTAAATACTTTTGTACTAGGATACTTTAGTTATACTGATATTCAACTTGGCTAAATCATTTGTCAATTGGATATATCCCTGATTTCAACCTTAAAGCAAAAGCAAAAAGGCATAACACCAGAGCAGTCTTATTTTAGAGTGGTAGAAAAGTGACTTTGTGTGTGTGTGTGTGTGTGTGTGTGTGTGTGTGTGTGTGTGTGTGTGTGTGTGTGTGTGTGTGTGTGTCTGTTTACTCATTTACCTGGCAGACTCCTTCCACTCCAGCTCATCTCCTTCTCTCTGTAGAGTGTCCATCTCAGTGAAGAGCGTCGGCGTGGGCATGTCATCATCTTCACTCAGGATGTAACGTAGCCGCTCTGCAGCCGGAGACACTTGATGGAATGAAGGAATGTTTTTGAGATTTTTACCATTTGTAATATCATGTAATAGAGTTTTAACAAGCTTCAAGTCCTGAGGATTATAAAAGATGCCTAAAGCATAATGTTAAAAGGAAAAAGCTGTAATTGCTTGGCTCTTATCTGTTTGTTGCAGTTGCCATTTGGCTTAACTTTTGTGTTTATGACCAGCGTCTCAGAGCTTTAGCCTACAGCATCAGCAGAATGTCCCTTTTGCGATACTGAGAGGTCAAATCAAACTGACCTTTCACATAAACTTATACACTACTCATATCAAGTTTTAGAGCACCCCCATTTTTATGTCAATATACCTATAAATTAAAGCATTGAATAAAACAATCTAAAATGTATGAATCTTTTTGTTGAACAAAATTAAATGTAAAGTTTTGATTCATTCCACAGCCAAATATATATATATATATATATATATATATAATGGAAATTATATTTTTATATATTTTGATTGAGTGTTGCAGAAGTTCCCACAACAAATGTGTTCAACCGGCAGTTTGCTTGGTTTGTCCAATTCATCCCAAAACCAGCTCCAATGGGTTTAAGTCTGCAGTCTGTGCTGCTCTTCCATCATGTGACGCCAGTGTCTGCTTCTTTTCCTCTAATGTTTTTTCTCATTATCTTGCTTTAGGATGAACCAGTCTGTCTTCCTTTGTGCCTTTTTCTCATCATTCTGACAACAATAGTCAACAGTACTACTTTGTGCAGTATGGCATTGTACTAATATTACATCAGAGGGTGTAGTAACACAGTTTGTTCCAACACTGCCTTTGCACAGACACAGGGTTTGTCATCAACAAAAGTTGTGGCACCTGTAGGAATTTCTTGCATTAACTTCCAGGGCTTCATTTACTTCCATTGCTGCAAGAAAGCTGTAAATTATTAAGCTGTAATTTTTTTTTTTTTTTTATATGAAATTTACTGTTGTATGTTTTAATTTTTGGTGACCTAAATTATTCATTTATTTATTTATACCTCAGGCAGTTTATCACTTACCTTTGTATCATTTGAGGTTATTCAATGGATTTAAAAATGAAAATGAAAATTTAAAAAACCTGGTGAAATTGGGGTGTTTTAAATCTTTTTACTGGTATTATACATAGCATCACTTAAGAATGTAGAGAGTGATCTCCAATATGAGTCTGTACACATGAAACTATAAATCTTTTCACTTACATCTTGTCTACAACCAGCTGTAGACTGTTGCATATCATCCCACGATATACCAGCAGTAATGCCTCCAGCACTGAAACCTACATCCAGATCATACATCACTACCTGATTATAGGTATTCAATCATGAGCCTGCTGTACTAACAGTACATTTTCACTGATCTATTATTTGTATGGAGGTTAAATTGTACCCCATGTTCATTAATGCTGTAGGGTAATCACATATCAGCTGACCACTGTGTCGGTAACATGGACTGAGCTGTGTTGTAATAACTGCACATGGGGTCTTTTAATGACACCAGAGGTCAATGATATTGACAGCTACTAACTGGGAATTCCACTTATATGTTGTCTTTTCAGATTGGGGAAGCAGTGATTGAATCAATAATACAAAATCTGGAAAAAAGTTTACCAACAAATTACAATATTCATGACTATATCTTTCAGCGAGGTAGATTTTGCTGCTCCTTCTACCACAGTGAGAACTCATTAGCTGCTTTAGCTGCTAACATACAGTTAATACGCCTTTAATGTCCCAAGAGAGGTGTGTTTTCACAGATGATACACAAACATACAGCTGAACAACATACAGACACCCAGCTTTCTTGTCCCTGCCCACACACCCATATATACAAACACAGATGGTCTGGATCTGTATAACAGTGTCAACGGTGCAGTTTAAGGCTGCTGTGACAGAAGGGACCAAACTTCTGCCAAACCAAACTCTTGTCCATTTTACAGTCCTGGATGTGTGACCACAGGCAGCAGTAATGTGTGGACCAGGGGGTGATCAGTGCATGCTACTGCTATTTTGCTATTCTAAGGGCAAGGCATATGATGGCTCTGTTATTCATGTCTGAAAGGTTGAGGGTAGGGAGGCAGATGGTTTTGAAAGGGGTACGTGTAATCCTGGTAAGTTTGCTTTTGTTTGATATGGTTAACAATGTGAAGAAACGGGGGGGGGGGGTAGTGCAACAAAATGGGTTGAATTCAGCTTTTGTAAAGTCACAACAGCAGGTGATGGAAAACAGAGTCTTTGCTGCTAAACAGACAAGTGCCAAAACAACATCATTCTTACAATCAAAATGAGGATAATCAGAATCTCTTTTACTCCCTTTGCTCTCTAAGTTGTTTACTTTCCCCTCACTGGGAACCATTCTCTCCCACTGTTGTCCTGTACATCTTTATTGTCCCTGCTATAATCCTCCTACTGATAATGATGCCATATGCATTATTGATACGTGTACTGAGGCACACGCACTCCAAAAGACTGTTTGTATGTGTGTGTGCATACAGCCTAGAAAGAGTAAACACCTCTTGCCACTGATTGCACCACAACTATCCTAATCACAGTCTTTGAACATGAAAGCAGCAGTTTCCTGCTAGGTTTCTCATTACTCAAATCTGGAACTAAAGCTACACCCGCTCAGGCCCCCTGCTTCTCGCTGTTAAATCTGCTGGAAGGAAGCAAAATCAAATCAAAAACATGAGCTAGAGAAGTGTGACTGAATTATGATACATGACACAGCCTGGTTCATATCTGTGCCAATCCTTTGGAAAGCTTTTTTTTTTCTTAAATATAGTTGAAGAAAAAGCCACCCTGCTATTTCTAAGAGTGCAGCCTCACTTCCATGTAGTCACAGCTCACTAATTAAAACGAGAGGCAGAAGATGTATTAGAAGCTATTCATAGTTTTCTCTTAATACAGGAGTGCAGTGACGCAGGCCAAGAGGAAAGCGTTTTTTTTAAATGACAAAAAACATCCTTTATCATATCCATCATTATTTTTATTTTTTTTAACACTAGCAATGAGTCATTTTTTACACTCTACAATCACAAAATCGTGTATGACAGAACACACATCTGAAGACTATACTGTCAGCACATTCATCTCATTAAAGAAGCAATGTTTAGCCTGTCATAGACTTTAGATCTTTGATCAGCGTTAACAGTTTAGCATTTCATTTCTTCCAGAAATCAGTTAAAGCAGAGGCTGAGATATCCTGAATTAGTTCCTGGTATGGCACAAGCTCCAAAAACACTGGACCCTACTTTTCCCCTAATGCAACCTAATTTTCATTAGACTTTCACTGCCTACTAAACAGCTATCTCTTCGAACCTCACATGCTGCCTCAGGTTTTATATTAAAAAGGATAATAAAGCTTAAAGCCCAAGCTAAAATGGCCCTGATGACATCATCAAGGTTATTTTCTCAGATTTTATAAAGCTTCACAAAAGACATGATACAGGATGAATAGCACTAACTGTAACAAGTGAAGTACCTTTGACATGCAAAATTCTCTCAGTAGCCGTGTAGAGGTTGGGGATTGACAACAGCCAATCAAAACTTAACACAGACTTCCAGAAACAGGAAGTAACACAGGTGTAAACTGATGAGACCTTGTGAGACCACTGTGAGCTGTATCAAATGTCCCACATCACTTCATGTCTTTTTGTGAATCCCTGGCCATTGACTTACTTGTGCGGTTAATGTCTTGGAGACTCTGCTCGTTTGAATCCATGAGTCCCTCCTCGATGTCTATGTCTTGGTACTGGTCGTGTTGATGGTGTCTTCGGTGGCTGTAGCGTCTCTCCCTGTCCATGTCAGGGACGTCACGACTAGAGCGCCTTCGCCTGCGCTTGCGTCGATATCCTCGAGGCACTGGAACGCCAATGTAGATGGACTGATGGTCTGGGGACAAATATGAGTGGTTACATAAACATGTGCTGCAGGATGGTTGCAATCATTTAAATGCAAAACCGAAGGACGAATATAGAGGCTTTCAAGAAGAATACAATGAGAATTTGCAAATAAAAAAAATATTTTCCAAGTGACTTAAATGAAAGTTTTATGAAAGGCCCCAAAATAGTTGAGTGGCAGCCAGTAACAGTGGCAGATTGTGTAATGAAATATTTCATTAATCTCTCACACTCTCACAGTGTTTCCATGAATGTTAACAAACTCTGAATGAAACATGTTTCATAGCTCATGTCTGCTTATTAACAACAGCAGCAGCATTCTCTGTTGGCACAGTCAGTCGCAAACAAAAAGAAAATCAGGTCTACTGAGAATCACTCAGTCCTAAGCTTTCTCCTGATTTTGTTTGGCTTTATAATCCCTGTTTTGCAACAAAAACTTGGATGATTTGAGTCTCATCGTGTGCTGGCAATTAATGTGTCGCTGTAAAACTAATTGCGCACAAAACTCCACGTGGAATAACTAAACAAGAGGGAAATCCAAACCAATATTGGTTGTTTGGAAAAAGAGCGGTACCTGCTAACCTCCTGCTCAGTGTGAAGGCAGTACACACACACACACACACACACACACACACACATACACACAAGTGATCTCATGTCAATCTTCAATCCTCATTTTCAGCCCATTAACAACATCCACACCCCACACAAACTCTCAGAACAAATTAAAAACAAAGGGACAATTTAGAAAGTAGTAAGTTAGTGTGACGAGTCAATTGCCTCATGATAATATTAAGAGACAAGGTGGGTGTAACGATTTCATTTCCTGTTTATTATTAGCAGTGGGACAGTCTATAATAGATGTAGCGTAGATATGAATCACACGTATGTGCACACACACACTCACCCTCCTCCTCCTCATAGCGAAGATGAGAGACGCCCATCCCTCGGTCTCCATGGTCCATCCTGGTAAAGAAGTAGAGAGGTTATTTGTATGTTTTATAATATGTAATATGCAAGTGCGTGTATGTATCCATGCACCTGTGTAACACCTGTGTGTCCTTTTTTATTTAATTGTGCGTGTATATTAGTGTTGCAGCTTCACCACACATTTGCACGTGTGTATTGGTGATACTGGTAATGTATGTATCATTGCATTATTACTGGAGTACGAGCCTGCAGCAGCAGCAGCTCCTGTTCACTGACCTGCATGTTGGGTTACAGTGCAGATCAATGGGAAAATAATTAAAAGCGAGGCCAAGTCAATGGAAATGTGCATGATTAAAACAAATGTGAGGGTAACTTATCGCACGTGACAACAATTCACACATTGATCACCACCAGCAAAGGTTAAGGCCACCACGTTCCTACTGAAGAGGTGTTAGAGGGATTATACACTCACCGGCCACTTTATTAGGTACACTTGTTCAACTGCTCGTTTACGCAAATATCTAATATGCCAATCACATGGCAGCAACTCAATATATTTAGGCATGTAGACATGGTCAAGACGATCTGCTGAAGTTCAAACCGAGCATTAGAACGGGGAAGAAAGCTGATTGAAGAGACTTTGAACGTGGCATGGTTGTTGGTGCCAGACGGGCTGGGCTGAGTATTTCAGAAACTGCTGATCTACTGAGATTTTCACACAAAGCCATCTCTAGGGTTTACAGAGAATGGTACAGAAGAGCATCTCTGAACGCACAACATGTCCAACCTTGAAGCAGATGAGCTACAGCAGCAGAAGACCACACTGGGTGCCACTCCTGTCAGCTAAGAACGGGAAACTGAGGCTACAATTCGCACGGGCTCATCAAAATTGGACAAAGGAAGATTGGAACATTCGGATGGCCGGGTCAGAATTTGACGTAAACAACATGAAAGCATGGATCCATCCTGCCTTGTGGTTCAGGCTGGTGTTGGTGGTGTAATGGTGTGGGATATTTTCTTGGCACACTTTGGGCCCCTTAGTACCAACAGAGCATCGTTTAAACACCACAGCCGACCTGAGTATTGTTGCTGACCATGTTCATCCGTTTATGACCACAGTGTACCCATCTTCTGATGGCTACTTCCAGCAGGATAACGCGCCATGTCACAAAGCTCAAATCATCTCAAACTGGTTTCTTAAACATGACAATGAGCTCACTGTACTCAAATGGCCTCCACCGTCACCAGGTCTCAATCCAATAGAGCACCTTTGGGATGTGGTGGAACAAGAGATTCTCATCATGGATGTGCAGCCGACAAATCTGCAGCAACTGTGTGATGCTATCATGTCAATATGGACCAAAACCTCTGAGGAATGTTTCTAGCACCTTGTTGAATCTATGCCACGAAGAATTAAGGCAGCTCTCAAGGCAAAAGGGGGTCCAACCAGGTACTAGCAAGGTGTACCTAATAAAGTGGTTGGTGAGTGTATATATTCATAGTATACAATACTGTAGTTGTAGGGTAGCGGCAGTTTGAAACTTGAATACACCTATATGTCTGCTAGAGGTTAACACTGCTCAACATTTTACTAGACAGGCAGTATGATGAACCAGGCCTGTGACACGTGAGAACTGACAAATTTATTATGTCAATGACTAAACTCACTGCAACATGAAAACAGTGTGATACAAGTGCAAAAATGTGTTTCAGAAGTGAACAAATTGGCAAATAAAAAAAATTTTGTTTCAGCATCTAGACATTGTTAAATACACATTTCTTGGATTAAGTTAGCGGTGGTATTCAAAGCTGCATTAATCAATTCTGTGCAGAATTGATTAATGCAGCTTGGGGAAGACCTTCAAAACAAGCTGACAAACACACAGGTATGATGACTGTATAAAGTTATTATAACTAACATGTTAGCACTCATTAGCATTCATTTGGTCCATTTTGTGCTTCTGGCCACCAGATGAGTCCATTATTCAATCTCCTTTTACTGTTGTTTTTATTTTTGTTCAGCTTGCTAACTTCGACTTTCCTCACCAGCTTGCCACTAACTTAATCTGCTGTGTGATGCTGGGCAGGCAGAGTACAGTGGGTTTATTTTTGCTGAAATAAGCTGCCAAATAAGTATTTATATGAAAATATTTACTGATGGAGCTTTAAGCCACTAAACAAGTGGTGCGACTTTATTCGCCTGATTGCAAACTCTTTTCACAATTAACTTTTTTCCTTGTCACAGCAGGAATAGCAAGAGTGTAAGTAACATTAATGATGGCTCACTTCCATTAAGCGTCCCAGTATAAACCATGCCAATAAACTAACATGCACAACACCACAGCCCAGAAACTGTTCACCTAAATGGAATATTCTGCACTGCATATCAGTCATTCAAATGTTCCTGCTTCCTTTTCAAGTTATCATGCTTGTTTGTTGCAAAATGCAATGTTATTAATGTTATTAATTGTATAAGATCTATTACATCACAAGTAGCTGAGCCACTACCTGGCAAACCACCTGACTCAAGTACAAGATAAGATTAGACACTGAATTACATATGGGCAAACCTAAAGCTGCACTAATTAATATTTTTATCTTAACAAGAGATAAAATGACCACAGGCATGTGTTACATGAAAGATGTCATCATATTGATGAACCCATACAGAAAAACCCAGTCCCAACTCTGTGGTTCCCTGCTGCTTTATGGAGCTTTAAGCCTCTTTAAGCTCATGTTTTGGTCTCCTGGACCACAGCTTTACTTATTTGGTTCAGTGTTCCTGCATCAATGTGCAGGTGCAGCAGACAGCTGGTATAGTAGAAAAAGCTCTAATAAACCCAGTGTGTGTTACCTGCATGGCTAAAGTAGCTAAAGAGCCATATATTTCCCGCAGGAATTGGTGGAGACCAAGACAGAGCTAAAATATGACTAAATATTGAATTTACATATAGTATAAGACTTCATCAGGTGACCAGACACACAACTAATACTCTGGGTCTGCTGAATTTTTACACAGGAAGCTGTTTACTAAAATGTTATTTATGTTAGCTTCAGAAGATGAAAATATTTCAGTGTTGTCTTTACAGCTCATTATGCTGTGGTCCAAAAAAATCAATGAATGCAGGTTTAAATGAAAGTAACGAAAACAAGATACGTGGATGTTTTTTTTTTTAATCCCTTGTCCTGCAAAACTAACTTTTGGATGTAGATTTAACTCAAGTCTGGAGGCAAATCTTTATGGTTAGTTTATTAGTTTTACATTTTATTAGTTTATGGTTAAAAACAATTATGCAGTTTTGAAAGTAGCATCACAAAATCAAATCGATTGTCCATCTGTTTCTACTGATGTTTCATCAGTTTTGAAATTCTACTGGAATTAATTTGTCCTAAATTATTAAAATACTATTTTAGATCTGGCATCTTGAAAAGTTGATAGTGTACTGCAGACTCTGCAAAAAGCCAAGAAAGGCTTTTTAACAGATCAGACTTTCCGTGGGTTTTTTGAATAGTGTTTCCCTCCAGGGTTTGCCCTGTTATTTCCAAACATTTCTGTCTATCTGAGCATATACATAAGCATATGTCTACATCCCATGAGTCAAAGCAATGTTTTTGAGTTGTCTCTTTGTGGGTAATATCTCATTTTGGCGTGACACTTGAAATACAATCCACCCTGGAGGGTTGAGAGGTGTAAAGTGGCTGGTGGAGGATGGGTTTAGCGCAGCAGAGCCCAGTTGAGCTGCCGCTGTGAATGTTTGTAGCGCTGGCTTCCTGCCTCGGTAATTAGTGCTGTCACATCAGTGTCCTTCACACCCAGTGGGCAGCTGGAGCGAGAGCTGCAGGCTGCCCCCCTCACGAGCTGATCGATGGGTTCACCCTGCCTCCAAAACCCTCATACCACTTGATAGAGACATGCACACACACACACACACACACACACACACACACACACACACAAATAAACATGCACACGTGCACAAGGGGTAAT